GGGGGTCACCACAACATGAGGAACTGTATGAAAAGGTCACGGCATTAGGAAGGTTGAGAACCACTGATTCAGAGGTTCTGAAAAGATTGTGTAACAGTGTGTGACCAAAAAAGGCCTGATCTGTGGCAGATGGGGGATTGGTTTTGCCATCATGAGACTGCACCTACTTATGCAGCCATCTCAGTGCGCCAGTTTTTGGCAAAAAGCAGCATGCCTCCTTTGCCCCATACACCTTACTTCTTTGAGTTTCATCGATAAAGTAGGACATGAAAGGACAGTGATTTGACAACTTAGAAGAGGTGAAGGGAAACCCGGGGAGGTGCTGGCAATCATCCAAACAGATCGTTTGAAAAATGTTTCCAAGAATGGAATCACAGATTTAACAAATGTATTAAGTGTAATGAAGAGTACTTTGAAGGTGATAAGGTTGTTTTGCAAAAAAATTTAAACACATAGCTTTGAAAAAGTAATTCTGCTTTTTTGGGGGGGAGGTACCTTTATATGTACACACACACACACTTAATTAAATGAATAAATTACAATGCAATTTAAATATACTTGTGTTTATGTATGCATGCATGTAAACATATCTATACTCATTCATCCTTATCTAAGAGCTTCCTGATTGGAAGGAATGTTGTTGGCATAGTGGGTTGCAGCTACTAACTAACTACAGGGTCAGTGGTTTGAACCATCAGTCACTCTGGAGGAGAAAGATGATGCCACAAACTGTTAGCTCCATAAAGAGTTTTTAAAGCTGGGAAAACCGAAAGGGACAGTTCTGCTTTGTTCTTTGGGGTCACTAGGATTCAGAGGAGACTTGATAGCAATGGATTTTTAGTGGTTGGAGGTATGTAAAGCACATGTATAGATTTTAAATTCTTCAAAATTCTTCAAAAATTTCTTTTTATACAAAATGCATAGGTGACATTGGAAGCACCCACTAAAAGCTCCACTGCCTTAGAGTAGATTCCAACTCACTGCAACCCTACAAGGGTTTCTGAGGCTAAAAAACCTTTACTGCAGTGGGGGGGGTTTGAACTGCTGCCCTTGTGGTTGGCAACCCAATGCTTACCCAGATGCACCACCAGGGCCACCCTGAAAACACACAACTATACTGTTCTATTACTTATATCTAAGAGCTTACTGATAGATGCTCAGTCCCCCAAGTGGAAGGTCCTAGAATTGTAGCATAAAGCCCCAGAAAGTACAAGCAGAATCTACAAAGGCAGTCCTGCATTTCAAAACCCATCAAAGGACAGCAACCACAACACAGGGCTTCAGGGTATCATTATAGTTTACCTTCATTTTTCTTACTGACAGTGACCCATTCTAAAGAAACATAGAAGCCACTCCCTTTCATATCCAGCTCCTCCTTTTCTATTCGCAGAAGTAGAGTAGCAACTGAATGTTCTTCATCTTTTAGCAATGAAATACTGTGAATTATGATAAACGGACTTCCAAGTTCTTCATTAAACATAATCTACAAAAAAAACATAGACACACAAGTGTACATATTACATGGGCACAGATCACGCAGAGAGAATACAATCCAACAATCCAATTCAAATTGGATATACAAAGAATTAAAAAACTAGGGGTTAAAAAGGACGTCTTTAGATAAAGGTGGCAAGATTGAATAATGTCTCTCAATGAAAGCTTTTTAAAACTACCGATTGGCATAAGAGAAAAATGATCATTATTCCTGTTTTGAAAACAAAGAAAATATCAGAGCATTTAAAAAGTCAGATGACAACTAAAAATGAAGACCTGGGAGGCACGCAGGCCAACCTTCACCCAGTTCTTCTCCTGACTCAGGATTCAGTTCTGCTCTGGACCCATTCTTTCCAGAACCTCAATGCTTTTTTCTCTGTTGGTGGTTTGTTATTCTATTTGTTTCAAGAGTGACCCTAGAGTCACAGGGATTGCAAATCAAATCACTGGAAAACTTTCTCACAAAGCTACCCACTTATCTTGCAAATAAGGAGTATAAAGAGATTTGTAAGATCGTATCAGATTCTTTTTTATATTAAGAACACATAATCTCTATTTTCTCACTAGCATGAATACTAAATAGAAGAACTTTTTGAGAATAATTCCTATTTCTAAATAAGATTTTCAATTAAATAACTTGGAAAATGCAGTTTAAAAAATACCTTACTAAAAGTTATTCCTTTTATAAAACATGTTTTAATTAATTCCCTTAAATCTGCTCCTTCCTGAAAGCCTTGTAATGAAAAATTTGCTTTAAAGTCATCAATTCCCCTACGTGTTTGAACACTTCTGCCAAAAAGATTTCCATTGGCAGATATAACATATTATGATTTTTTTAATCTCAAGTAGTCATACTGAAGTGACTGACAAAAATAGGGTTTGGGTTGGTTGAGTGTATTTTAGGTGCCTTGGTAGCACAGCGAGTTAAGCATTTAAGCATTAAGCTAAGAAAGCAGTTGATGCTTTGAACCTACCAACTCTTCCACAGGAAAGAGATGAGGAGACTGCTGTCCAATGTACAGACTTGGAAAACGTAGGAAGCAGCTGTATTCTGTCCTACAAGGTCAGTATAAGTCAGAATCAACTCGATGGCAGTGGGTTTGGGTTTGGGAAAGGGTTTT